TATTTAAAAAACCATTGCGGTAATTACCATTTTTGAATGGCTGCGTCTAATTATTGTGGTTTATCATATCAACAGTTCAGGTCTAATTAGGTCACTGTGGCATCAGAGATAACAAACCAGTCATGAGCCTCCTATCTAATTAGGTCACTAATTGTTATCAGAGATAACAAACCAGTCATGAGCCTCCTCTTACAGGCGCTTTGCATGCAGGCCACAGAGGCTGGACCTGGCTGTCAGATCCTTCCCTACGGATTGATGGGTTCAGTCACTGCTCTCAAAAGGATCTTTCTATTTAGATTTGAGCGTCTGCATTTAAGTGGCTGGTGACAGCTTACCTGTTGCTGCTGAGGCACTGCTGAAAGGGAAGCTGGAGCAACAATAGAGTAATAATTCTTAAAACGCTAAAATGAAGAGAAGTTGAAATTTGAGGATTGAGTTTCTCCATCCTTCTTCAGATAATGCTAGTCTTGCAAACACAGTCCTCTAAATTAAGCCATTTTAAATTAAAAGCCAGATTCACTAGTATATGCTAGCTAAATTACATTTTATGGAGATACATTACTTTTAAATACTGTGGAAAATACTGTGGGATAGCATGTGTGGGTTTCTTGTTAATGCCTTCTTGTGCAAAAACACTAATGGATAGTTTATTAAATGACAGAGTTGTGGTTCTGGTGAATATATAGTGGCTTTGCTACTACATTGTGTGCAATGTCCTTGTCACTGTGGTGATTTTGTATACTTTTATGTTAATATTTAGATTTGACATGAAGGCATCTCTTAAAATGTAATTAAAGATGTATTTCAAGCTTTTGTAGATGTGACCAAAATATATGGATAAGAGAAAAATCTATAAAAGAGAGGTTGTGCACCTGCCAGTTGCTATGTCTCCCTTCCCCAGGGATCAGGTATGGCTGAGTTGCTTTAGTTGATGATTACTGAGGTATGTGATTTCCTGGGCTGCCCTTACTGTACGAGAAAAAGTAATGGGATTTACTGTTGAGGGATATCCGTCTCTGAGATATTTTTCTGTGGTTCTTTGAAATGAGCTTCCCAACCTTATTTCCTGAGCGTTCTCTAGACCTTCCCGAAGAATGATAAGCTGGCTAAACATTAGAATTCACCAACTGTCTAGGCTGAGACACATTAAAAAAAAAGAAAAAGGCAACTCAGCTGTTAATTGGACATGATAAAAATGTGAAGAAATTTTGGACAAATCAAGTGCCTTGTAATAGTAGTATTAGAATTCTTGGCTTTACAGGCTATTTCCATTTCTTAATTAGAAGATCTCATTAAACAAACAACAAAAAGCATCTGTAATTACTGCAAATTATAGATTCACAGCCTTGCCAATAACTCAAAGCAGATGGGGAAAAAAAATGCAGCATACAGACATTACAGAGCAAGAGATATTTTTGCCTTAGAAATAGCAGAGACAGATTTTTAGCTAGGGATACTGTAAGAGACACAGGGTTAGTACATTTTCTTAGGAGAGTGAAACCTTTCTCTTATCTCATGTGTACAAAAATCAATTTCAGAAGCAGAAGGTACTACCTCTGATTTTAACATTATTGGGCTGTTAAAGGGAAAAATACACAATGAAAACCAAAAGATAATACAAAGGCCCCGCGTTCTTCTATTTATGAGTTCCTATAAGCTAGAATGTTTTGCCTAATAGGATTAGAAAAATTAGCAAAAGGTTCAGGTCTCTCCTGTAATTAGCATTCTTGAAAATGAATTTATAGGTATGATCAAATAAGTGACCTTTCTGTCTATAGATAAAAGACGGATGTTACTGACATTGAGACAGTACTTTGGGGGGGTACACTCAGTAAGCAGGAGCTGAGTCCATCTTCTTAAATGATTGCGTGCTCGCTAATGGTAGTGTTAAATTTGGTTTGACAAGCGCATGGCTTCATATATTACAACCTTACTAATGATGGAGTTAGGGACAGAATTTCCAGACAGGAGGTGTTATTTAGATACTCAAAGCCAGGTATCATGTCAACAAATTACTACTGCTTTGCCTACTGGTTAGCTTGCAGGAGAGTTCGTGCAACTGACTCAGGATTTTTATTTCTAAAGAATATAAAATTAATGTAATCTTTTTATTCTAATTTATTCTAAGAATCCCCTGACTAGTGTGATAAATTGGAAAGAGACAGTATTTACTGGAAGGGGAGTAAAAGAAAGTTAAGGAAGTACAGGACAGAGTGTACACCGACTGGTTGAATCCAGTGTATTACAAACTCTTGAGAACTCAGAAGCATTTTAGGACAACATCTTTTTTCAAGTAAAATTAATGTGTAGGAATGACATATTGCACCATCATTGGGATACTCCTTGATGGAAGTTATACGGTCCTTGGAATTTAATACAATGAGTACCAGTTGAGACATCTGCCTACCCGCTGGACTGAGTTGCAGATGAAATTTTTTTTATGAAACTCCCTCAGAATGGTAGTTTGCCAGTTTGACCTCCAAAAACAAAGGACACTATTTAAGGTAGATTCTCTTTTCCATACAGAGTTTAACTTGTGAAAGGGTTTTGCTCTCCAGACTTGACAAACAAACTGATCTAATTCTTTCTTTAGCTGAACAGCCAGAGGTTTTAACAAACGTTAGTATTTGCCTTCTGGTGCTAGAAAGTAATCATCAGGCAGTAGTTAATAATTTCTCAAACACTTATTTTGAAAAATTAATGGGCGTTTAAAGCATCTCAAATAATATGATGCTGTTACTGCAGTTCAACGCACTGACTTTTCAGTTAAGTAGGTGGATACTTATCTGAGTTAGTTACTTAAGGCTACTTGAGCCTTTTTAAAACTGCATATTTTTATTTTCCTTCAGAAATAAACTCACATTCATGGCTATTTCAATTTGTGTAAATCTGGAATTTTAGGGATGTTCTTCTGAAATAATATACATCTTACGGTACGTACTCAAGAAAGAGTTATGACTATAATAAAGACAATAAATTTAGACTGCTCATTTACATAGCTGTTTATTCACCAGTTGAGTCACAGCATCAGTACCTTCATTAGCCGCATGAATTTTAACAATTAAAAATCTTCAAATGATAGTTTAGTGATGAAGAATAAGCCTAAGCTTCCCTTCAAAACCCTGGTCTCTGCACATTTTGGTTTGGCTCAGTTGACACATCTCTACACTGCTGTATCGGAATGAGGATAGAAAAGACTGAATTTGGACTTCTTTCAATGAAGGATAAGCAGTGTGTATAATCATGTTATTTTTCACTGTCTTTATTCCATCCTCCTTTTCCTAGGCTAAAGGAGTTTTGTTTTGTGTCTTTCTCGCAGCAGTACATGTGCAAAGCTCCCACTGACAGGCAGAACAATGGCATTTTAGATGTTACTTCCCACATGAGGCATTCCCAGGAAATAATTATATGGGAATAGATACCTTTGTGGACTGGAGCCATAAAGGGTAGTGAGAAAATGGGCTAGCCAGCACCTGTCATGCTGACTCGCTTATCTCATTATTTCCTTGTACTTTCTCATCCACTTGTATTTTTTTCACTTTTACAAGTACATTCTTGGAGGAGGAACTGTCATTCTGTTCTGAACATGACCAGTTTTAACTTATTTTTAAGGTAGATGAGAATATTTCTTTGCCATTGTCTATGGGCTTAGAGGATGAGTTTAGGATGAGTGGAAGAGCTCGGAAAATGAGATTTCATTGGTTTTGCCCACTTTAATAGGAAGTAACGTACACTGCATTTTTCAAATTTGCTTTTTTGTCACCAGTAACCTTTGGCTGGAATAGGTCACTGCTTACACACTCTGTACCTAAAGCAGCTGTGAGCTATACTTAGGTAGTCTCCCAGTACGGTGTGGCTCTTGTTGACAGCTTGGTCTCAATGGTACTTCTACCTTGAAAGACAGAAGACTCCACTAACTTTCCTGAAGACATTTTGTGACCAGCCTGGTAAGGCCAGAGGACTCAAAAGAAACCAAAAGATTTGGTGGCCAGTGAGGGGAAACTGATTTAATTTCACTTCCATTCATGAGGCACCTGCAAAACAGAAATACCCCTTGAACTTAAGAGACTGAAGAGACAGTTGTAGATACTATTTTTTAATAAAGTTGGGATTCTGTCCATAATGTACAAGTTAAAACCTAACACTAAAATAATTCCTGAGAAAGCCAGTGTGCTGATTATGTAAAAATGCACATGTAATGATTATATAAAAATGGGTGAAGACACTCAAAGCATCCTAAGCTTGCTCCCATAATGATACCCTGAAGGGGCAGTTTTCAGTCAGTCCATGCTTGAGAACCTGAGGAACCAACACTGGAATGTTTTACCCTGAGTTGTAATGGAATTCCAAACTTTGCATTTCACATCCACACCCTTTCCAAAGGAAGGGGAAAAAAAGCTGACATAGAGGCTGTAGGCCACTCCTCTGCAGTCTGGAAAAAGGAAAAAGCAGGGGTGGTGGCATTTCTGCTCTCTCTTTGCTACTGTCCGTTTAGAAACAATACTTCACCATAAGGATACTATGAAACGATTGTTTTTTCAGGAACAACAGGCAGAGCAGGGACAAGAGAGGAAGGAGTGCAGCTGCATGATGCAGTCACTGTATTCCTACTTGCATTCAGAAGCTCTGGAGGTACTGTATCTGCTTGATTTTCCTGGACTTCCTTGATTTTTTTGCTGACCCTTACACAAGGCACTGCCTTGTGTCACAACTGAGTATATATAATCCTCAAACCACTGGAGAACCCTGCTATAGATGTACAGAGTTTGAAAACCTGCTGTAATTTGTCCTGATGTCAAATTAATCTTCATATCACACCTCACTCCTTGAAAAGTGTTACTTTTATTGATGAGTCAGTGGTTCAAATGTAATAAATAGTAGACCAACCTTATCCATCATCTGCAATGTATCAATCAGCTTTCTGGCCTCATGAAATGTGTGAGCTAGTGACCAAACCAGCTTCATTCACAGTTGTGCACACAAATCACCTGGATGACAGTCCACAGCTTAAATGACAGGTTATGAAACTTCATCATGGGATTTCAAGTATATTGGCTTAGAAATCTTCCTTAGCTTTTCTTGGTGTCGCAACATACGGCCTTGTTTACGGGCAAGACCCATAGGAGGCAGATGGATCTGGAAAAGAAAATCCCACCAGTTAGATGCAAAGGGAGAAGCTACAAGAAAAAGAAGGCATATATACAGAATAGGTTTCACTGAGTTTTAACAATTTCTTCACACTTTGGAGTGGTATTAGGTTTCTAGGAGGAGTGCTGTCTGTGGAGTGATTAGTGGTGTAACTTTCAGGCCCTAAATGTTGTGTTTATTAAAATCCTGTGTATTTCAGGCTTTAGGAACCTTATTTTGTAGCTTGATATCAGACTGTAATGAGAAAATACTTGTTGAAATAGGACTGCTGACAATGTTCCAGAACAGTGAGACCTAGAAAACCCTAAAATTCCTGAGTAGATGTCTTAAAACATTGTGTGCTTAACCTAGCTAGCAAGTCGCAAAATAATTTCAAACTGTATGTACTGAAAGACTGCCTTCTTATTGTCATGATTATACATACCCTATTAAAATGCACAATCAATGTAATTGACTCCACAAGAAGAAGGAGCAGTAGGTGACAAGCTCTTGACAAAGTCTTTATATTTCATAAGACTGTTAGCGGGAGTCATGTAGCTATATCCCCCCTAAGTGACTGAAAAATGTAGGTGTTAGCAGTCAGATGTTATTGTTGCTGAGGCTGTCATCCTGTGACATAGCTGTTTAGGTGCAAATAGTAGTATAAGCACTGATTAAAGCAGCAGTAGAGATTTCTAGAATCTGAAAAATAACGATCATCCAGTTTGTGAGAGAGAGCTGATCTAGGACTGATCCTTTGGGATTTCGAAGCCACTGCAGAGCATACATTTTTAAGCTCATTTCTAGGAACGTTGTTTGCCAGATGTGCATTTTTATTCTGTATACGGGAGGAAAAGAAAAAGCTATGTGTGAAACATGCTAACAGTGACTATATTCTAGGCAAGCATGTGATGAATATACAATTTAATTTTGACCATGACTGCCTTGATAAGGAAACTATAGATGTGAAAATGTAAACTAATCAATAGTAGTCAAGAGGAAGTCCCTATGGGAGGCAGCATAAAGTACTACAGACAGAAGTGACTGGGCAGTGAGGAAACTGTATTGAATGGTGCAACAGAAGACATTGCTGCGAACTCCAGCACTTCAGTAATCTTGGGCATTTATTTCTCTAGGAACAGGGGAAAAGAAGCAGCAGCATGGGCAGATGTTTTGTAAGACCTGATTTATGACCGGGAGAACAGTCACAGTAATGTAGGCTAAGAAAATTTTATTATCTATGACAGATGTAATTAAGTATTTTTATTCTCTCTTTCTCTTTTATTATGTGAAAAGATTAATAGATTTGATTCCATGACTGTCTTTTTCTACATAGTATGATTCATTGGTCAGTCAAGACTGCCTAAATATTCATAGGCCTTGAGACTTTAGCTCATGCAACTCCATTTAGGCTTTTACTCCTTATTTTAAGAAGAAATTAGCCAATTTACAGTGAAGTAAGATAGATGGAGAACATTTCAATATACATTTGGCTTATTTGGCTCTGATTTAGCATAGCAATTAAATACTATTGGCTTATCTAAAAATGCAGTAAGGTGACAGTGATATGAATTCATGGTTTTATTGTCCAGTGAGAGCTAAGTGGATACAGCTGAAAACTTTGTGACTAGATTTACACTCACAGGTCTTGGGTAGGGGATGTTATAGTGAAGTCCAATTTCTATTCTTGCCTCACATTCTTCTATACACTGCTTAATCAACTTTGGATCCATTACCTATGGTTATAAAAACAAATGTTTTGTGCAAGTACAGCAGTTAGCAATTGGAAGCTCAAGCATAAATGATGCACAACCACATGACTTTCGGGGTTTTTTTTCGCAATCCCAAGGATACAATGATTGTATTTTTCACATCCATAAAAGGTAACATTGGTAGTTGCCTTGACTCAAGAGTTCTGGGCTTGATGGCGCTGGATATTAAGGCCCAGAGACTGTCATGACGGAGGCTATACAAGGAGGTTTTTACCCAAATATGGTATTTTCTCTGTAAAAAGACAATACATGTGTAAACTACTAATATCCACGAAAAAAACATGCTCACCCATTCATCACTCTTCAAGGTAGCTAGAGGAAAAGAGAAGAGACTCTTCGGTCTACATTCTGTTATCATCTTATCCAGAAACTTCCTTTGAAGTCAGAAATGTGGTGCAAATTTTGATTTAAATTATTTTTTTTATTTTTGCATTACCTGAATTTAGTCCCAGACCAAAAAGGGATATAAGTAAGTACTGTGATCTTCAATTACAAGAAGGACCTTTGATTACTGTGGGGTCTGTATCATTCCTTTCAAAAGGGGTTTGAAATTTCCTCCTTAAGAAAAAAATTAAAGTGTTTCTTTTAAAAGAAGTGCCAAAGTGTTGCTTTGAAAAGAAAAAAAAAAAAAGTAGCTCTTTGGCATTGCATGGGTAATGATACACTTAGCGAGCTTTCTAAAAGATCAAAAGCTGCTTCAATTACATAGGCGGTATCTTTGGAATTTAATTTTTTCTTGGCATTTTTTTAGTGAAAGCTCTAGACCTTTTAGACTTCTACGCTAGTTAATGATAAGCTGAAATGGTTTGAGTTTTCCTTACTATTTCAGAGGCAAAAATTAAACTATAACCCGAATACACTAGCATTTAAGGTGAATGAAATTCTGGGAAATCAACTCTCATATCTTAGCATCCAATCACTGTGACAATGCAAAGAGCAAGAGGAGAATCATTCAGAAATTCAAAACTGTAAGGACACCCACTTACGTTTTTGTTTTTTCGGAATAATGTTTTGGCCTCATTTTTAATGTACTCTTTCTCTTTAATAGTTTCTTCTATCTGTCCTGATGCCGATTGCCATTTTTTGGCTATTCGGAATATCTTGCGGTAAAGGCCAAGAACTTCTTGTCGAGTAACTGGTGTCATCTAAAAAACCAACACAAACCCCAGACATACGCATGAACATTTGAGTTGCTAAAAGGCCAGCAAGCGGTACAGTTTTTCACACAATTGAATTAGTTTTAAAATATTTCCACCATCTAAAGATATGCTGAGCTATACGAAAAGAACTGAAATAGCTGTAAACAATAATTAGCTGTTGAAAGCTGAAGACTCAGTCCAGCGAAGTAATGAAACTGATACTTAAATCCGTCTCCATTCAAACAGCTTGAGCTCTTGCTCGAAGTTAAGCACCTGTTTTAGTGCTTTGCTGAATCACAAGCCTGGTACAAGAATGCCCAGGTTGTGTTTTGCTGCTATTTTGCAACAGACATTAGGCAAGACACCGAAACTGTGAGCATCCCCCTTCCTGTGAAATTGTTGTACTAATGCTGACCCTATCTTTGCAAAGCATCTTGAAATCTGTGAATAAAATACATGATAAAACCACTGCGATCTTGCTGAAAACCAGTGTAGGTTTCAGAGGCTGAGAAGCTTATTTGTGATATCACTACAGTATGTAGTAATGATTCGGCTGGATTTGAGGTGATGAAGAGGTGATGAAAGCTATTTTATCTGAGCACTGCAGGAGAGGCAGACTAACTGTGGATTTAGGAAAGTCTTGAATGTCTTGATATTTCAGAGCGCTGTGTACCTGCTGAGCCCACTGACTCAGCCCCCAGCTTTGTCAGAAATCAAGAATGAAATCCTATTCTTATTCTGTGTAAATGAGTATTTTCATCCAAGACCACAAATATCCCTCAGACAAATCCGCTGCTGGAATTACATCATTTCTGACATGGATTAGATATGCAGAAATGACTTCTGCTTTAGGGACGCCCCAACTGTCAAAGGTACCTTATTGTCCGAAGGGAAGCTGCAGCAGCACTGTGAAGTACATGGATGCAGTGAGGAACAAGTGTCAGGGTCAGGACATCATCTGTCTCAGGCTCCGCTTGCCAACCTGGAGCTCTAGTTACTGTGGCTGAATCTGCCCTGAAATCAGACCTGTGCGCTGGGAATAGCTCCTCCGGAGGACAATTTGGAGCAGGGTAATGCAGGCAGCCCGAAGTGCCCTCGGGAGGGAGCA